GTCCTGACAACAATAAGGAGCACGATAGAGGTCATGAAGATGGTCAGGTGTTTTTAGTGCTTGCAAGATTCAAGCCACAACTCTTAGCACATATGCTTATGCGACAATGCGAGACTATGCAAAGCAAATTGGCTCTGTGGGCTGTAATTACAAGTTTACCTAGGAACACTCTTCTTTATGAGCATAATTGCTTTGTTGCCCCGTCAGATTTGTGTTTCTTGCTTGGGTTGAGTACATTTGTTATTCAAAGATGCCAGCTCCAATTTATCATTCTTGCAAAAGGTTCATGTTTGAGTCCGGTGAATCTTACAGCACATCCACAACTTGACTTTCAAACTCTAGAGCCACTGTGACTAAGGGAGGCTCTTGGAATTTTTTGCCATTATTTTCCGGTGATAGTGTTCGTCGTGCTTTCAGTGAAATACAATAACATTTTTCTAACACTGTTGGATATTGATTCAGAGATTTTACTTGAATTCAATTTGTTAATCTCTGCTCAATGACCGCAGATTCTTGGAGTAACACCAATGTTTAATTATTTTAGTTGACGTGTATCCATACAACGGGCACCCTCATTAACACGATATATATGACTTCACATGAGATTAAACTTATGCTCGACTCATATCAGTCGAATAAGAAAGAGATCGCGAGGGTAACACCCATTAAGGGCCTATTTGGCATAGCTTAACCAATAGCTTCATGAAGTGTTGTGAGCTGTTTTTTTTTCTAAAGACCCCTTTTCAAAACAACTTCATGGGTGAAGCTGTTTTTCCCCCCTCTCACAAGAGGATGGGATGGAAGAGAGCTAAAAAATAGCTTATCCCAGTTTCACCTAACACATGTGGGGCCCAGCATGCACAAAAGACTCCTTTTGCCCATGCAGAGAGAGAGAGAGAGAGAGCTATGAGCTCGCAAGAGGGAGGCAATGGGGCGTGGCCTGCCGGAGCGCGACCTTTAGGGGTGCTGCTCACTGGGGCGTGGCTTGCCCAGGGCACATCCGCGGGAGCGCAAACCACCGGGAGCGCGGTCGCCGGAGCACGGCTCATCAGGGCGTGGCCCGCTGGGGTGTGGCCACTAGGGAACGGTCGACGGGGACGGCGGGACATGGCTGCCAGGAGCCATTTGCGGACGAATGAAGGAGACACATGTCGCATCAGAAGAAGACAGCAGAGGCCACCAGAGCTAGGAGCTAGGAGCGCGCCGCGGCCCCGGACCACAGGTGAGCGGCGCGACTGTTGTCGCTGGGGCATGAGTGGGCACGAGCGCCGCGGCAGCCGGGACAAGGTGGAAGCGGCGTGACCGTTGTCACTGAGGCACGTGTGGATGTCGGAGCTGCCGATGCACGTGCACCTGGAGCTTGCGGAGCGCTTGCGGCCACCGGAGCTCGCGAGGCACGCGCGACCTTCGAGCGAGGCTAGGCTCGCGAGGCGTTCGCGGTCGCTGGGGCCCGCATGTCACGCTGGGGCTTGCAGGTGTTGGCGCAGCCATGACTCATGGAGGAAACCGATGGGTAGGAGAAAAAATAGGAAAAAAAAGTGGAAAGGGAAAAAATGGGGGCCATTGTTGTCATTTCATTCATTTTGTCTTCCATCATGAGCTATTTTGCAAAACAAGTTGAAAAACAGCTTTAGCTTCGTCGATAAAGATGTTGGTTGAGGTGAAACTTTAAAAAACAACTTCACTTGAGCTATGCCAAACGGGCCTAAATGTACTTTTGAATTTCCTAGAGCTAGGTGATCTGAACCAACACGTGGCACTAAATTTATTAGTTGGTGACAAAAAAACATCAACATAAGGTTGTTTATTAAAAAAAGCACATCGATCTACCGCTTGCATAATCACCCAAATACTTGTGCTTTTGTATGTACTCGTGATGAAGCCACAGCCGCCCTATCGTGCCTTCCTCTCTGGCTGTTCGAGAGCCGGGAGGGACTAGGAGAGCTCAATGCGGCGATGGGCTGCTGAACCATGGACCTATTTGGGTGGCCTGCGTGTCAGGTTGAATGCCTGGTGGGTTGTTTCGGGCTGTGTTGGGCTTTAAAATCATGCATGGATGATCTCAACTCATCGAAGGCCGATAAAGAAAAAACATAGTGGCTCTAATAGCATAATTTTATCGGCAGCACTTGCACATGGTGGTCCAGATGCATGCGTCGCGCTAGCTCCGTTTCCAGCACTCGCATCCAAACTGCCTGTTTCAGATCCGCTGTTCACATTGCTTGGATGACTCGCCCCCGCCTCTTCCACATTGGCGCGCCGCCCGCCTCTTCTAGACTGTCTGAAAGACTCGCACCCGTCTCTTCCACAACAACATCGCGCGACATGTGCCTCCTCCCCACACCGCTGACGGTGGCCTGCACCTCCTCCACGCGTCGGTGGTCGCGGCTTGGCCCTGCGCTTGCAAAAAGAAACACTCGAATGCAACATACATTTGAAACAGATGAAACATTTGGGACATACGCTTGCAATATGTGTATGCAACATATGCAACATCCGGATAAAACAAGTGCAACATGAAAAAAACACTTACTGCAACATAAGACGGAAACAGCTGAAACATTTGAAACATACTGTTGCAACATATGTGTGAAAAAATATGCAACATCCAGATAAATACGGTTGCAACATACGTCTGGAAACAGATGAAATATTTTGAACAAATGCTTGCAACATACTTCTGAAACACTTGCAACATATGCAACATCCTCTAATATACTTTTTAAACATCCATAAAAAACAACTGCAACGTACCTTTGAAATGATTGAAACACCACAAACATACATTTGCAACATATGGAAGGGGAAGCCTGGGTCGGTCGATTCTAGCCGTTGGGGTTGGAGCTGGCGACGAGTGGCGGTGCACGAGCACCACCGCCACCAGTATCGGGCTTGGCTCGGCGGGAGACGGTGAGGGATGGGGGGCGAGGATCACCATGGCCGCCGAGGTCGGGGGAGCGGTCACTGGGGTGAGAGAGGGCACCGTCAGGGGTGGAGAGGCTGCCGCGCCTGGTGGATAAGAGGGCGTCCACTTCCCTGCAACACCATCATCTCACCTCCATGGATCTCGCCAGAGGCGAGTGGATCTTGCTCCTGCTCCATAAATCTCGCTGAGGTAGGGAGAGGGCTGCCGGATCTGCGATCGTTGGAGGCTCCTGGTGGGGGAGGACGTCGGGCGTTGGTGCGCTGCGACAGAGGATGACGAGCACGGAAAGGGTAAGGACGGGAGCAGAGCGAGGTGTGCGGGAGTTGATTTTGCTTTTTTTAGGCGAGAAGGCGCATGCGTCAGTGAGTGGAGTGGCGTCCAGCCTTTCGGATGTCTTAATAGTAACATTACCGTAATTTTATTTATTCTCTGATTTTTGATTTAAACATTGCTCTTAAAAATCAACTTTATTTTTATTATGTTATAAAACATGATAGTTCGTTGCATTTTTAATTGTCGTCATCCATTTTCTTACCTGCGAGTCCTCATGGACATCGATGATGCGATGCTCTCCATCTGCACCGTCTGCTGCAGATCCAACGGCTGGGCTGCCGCATGACTCGGTTCTCCCTTCCCCTACGGCCCTACCGATAGCAAGCGGCCCGCGCACTGCGGGGACACGAATGCCTCCTCGAGCGGGAGCCATGGCGGCAGCGGCGAGGGCGGCGCTGCTGCCCTCCTTCTCCTCGTCCCCGTCGCCGCTGCTCCGCCTCCCGCACCGCTTCCTCTCGCTCACCGCGACTCCCTACCCTCTCTACTACGACCTCATCGTGCACCGCCCCGCGGAACCCAATCCCCCCAAATCCTCCGCCTCCGACGCCGCCGGGGCCGGCCGCCAGCCGCAGCCAGCATCCGACGAGCAGACGCTCGACCGCGCCAAGCGCCGGTACCTCCGAAAGCGCCGCAGCCGCCTCCTCCCCGACCCTGACGCCACCACCACCACCAAGCCCTCCTCCTCGTCGTCGGAATTTGTCGAGCTCCGGCCGGAGGTGGTGGACTTCCCGCGCCTGCACGCGCGCGAGGAAGCGCTCTACTTCCACGACACCTTCGCTATGCCGTGGGAGAAGGACAAGCACTACCGTATGCTCTACCGCCTGGAGAAGAAGTACTTCCCCCACCAGTCGCTCGACAATGCATTCGTCTCTGCTGACGCTGCCCCGGCCTCCGACGCCGATAGGAGCCTCGTCTTCTTCGACGACGAGAAGAAGGAAGATGAGGGAGAGGAGCGGGTGGTCAGTAAGAAGGGCGGCGACAGCGACGACAAAGGGGAGGTGCTGGAGAGGAAGGTGGAGGACTTCTTCAGGTCTCTGAAGAAGGGCCCCGGCCAAGCCGACACCAAGACCAAGAGACCGGGAAAAGAGCCGCAGCAGGTGAAGCGGGAGGTGCTAAAGCAGGAGGAGCGGCCGCAGCCGTACCTCGTCACCAGGACCACGGAGCTGCCGCCCAGGTGGGACGGCCCGGCCGGGACCATCGTGCTCATCGACAAGCCCAAAGGTGATGCCTTTCGCCTCCCCTTTGGTGCATTGCAGGTTCTGGGATTCTCACCAAAATGTATCATCGGCAGTACTACTAGGTTGCCGTCTGTGAGATTAAGACAACAGTAGTATTTCAGATACTTTTATATGATGCACCACTGGAAAATTCCTTTTGTGAAATGTGAGCGATTAGAGCAACAATTACATGGCAATCAGTTAGTGTGGCACTTCTGCAGTTTTGCCTCAAGACAGGGTTCTGTGTTGTGTTTCCTTTCAGGGCAGATAATAATTAGTTAATGTGCGGACAGGATTAGGTTCGAGTGGTGTTTTATTAATTTGCTCTGTTGCCTTCCATCCTGAACAATTCATCTGAACTCGTCTTTCCTCTAATCTCAGGATGGACTTCATTTACTGTTTGTGGCAAGTTGCGGCGCTTGGTGAAAGTACAAAAGGTGATATCAGGGCTTTTTCACTGTATCTGAATGTAGCATTAGCCCTTAGCATTAAGTATATGTTTTGCAATATTTGTGTGGTCTCAGGTTGGACATGCTGGAACTCTGGACCCCATGGCAACTGGATTGTTGATTGTTTGTGTAGGAAAAGCAACCAAAATAGTTGATAGGTAACATCGTCTTAACTTTCGGGGAAAGCTTATTCTTGTGGTTGCTGGGACAATTGTCCTCTGGTTTACGCTTATCTTCAAATTTTCCCTAGTATAGACTGTATTGTAGGCTTTGGGGGAAAAATAAAATATGATGGACTCTGAAAGAATTGTTTTACATACTATGGCTACTTATCATCCCTCCATCTGTAGCACTTGCTGTACATTGTTTTTCTGAATGATCTCATGCTTCTGAAGCTACCAAGGAATGGTTAAAGGCTATAGCGGTGTTTTCCGACTTGGAGAAGCCACATCAACCTGGGATGCAGATTCACCAGTATGTATCCTAGCATCTCTACAATGGTCTGCTGAACATTCTTTTATTCAGGGGTTGCAAATGGATCTGCATTATTGAAGGGATTTGGGGAAGCATCACCAAATAACAACCTATTTGGTTCGCAGTTAGTTATGCTTCTTTTCTATGTTGCTGGGAAATCTTATCGAAAGATTCTACCCTGAAAAGAGGTTCATCACTTATCAGCATATATTGTCTACATATCTTTTAGTTGGTGACTGTTAACTCTATTTTCACAGTTAATTATGCTTTTGTACAATGTTGCTGGGAAGTCGTATTGAAAGATTATATCCTAAAAAGAGGCTGATCACCTTATTAGCATATATAGTCTATATATAGTATAGTAGGTGACTGTAAATTCTGCAAGCATTTGTTGATCCTATCTTTACAAATGTCAGAAATTACAAACTCTATTTTCAGATCTCAATAGTTGATTGTGTGCAATCTTAACCTTTTCTTGAAATAATTAGTTAAACCACTTGTGTTTTCCTAAATCTGATCCTGTATAGTTATTTTTTTATATTAGCTTTTATTTTAATTATTTGTATTCACAATTCTTCTTAGATGACAGTAATGCCTTACATCCTTCTATGATCAGATTATCCAGAGGGAACCATGGGAACACATCAAAGATGAAGATATTAGAAAGGCAGCAGCATCATTCAAGGGTGAGATATGGCAAGTTCCTCCAATGTTTTCTGCCATTAAGGTACACTATTCTTGTACCTAAAGCTATTTTTCTACATTTTCTTTAAAAGAATGTTGCTAGAGTTGTTCGTGGGTGGTGCTGACTTTCTGTTATGCATGTATGACAATCTGCTCAGCAGTTTTACACTTTTGGATAATAAGCTACTAAACCACTAGAAGTATATTGTTCACTTATGAAGAGCAAAAAGGGAAATAGAAAGATAACATGCATATAGGTTAACTTTGTCATACTATCTCGGGACTTGTCTGTGTACTGCGCTTTCTGACATAAGGATATAGTTGGTTTTGATCATGATACAGTTTGATATTACTGATCTTCCATCTGCTGTCACACTGCCTACTACTCAAAAGTTAATCAACCATGAAACCACAAGTTCACAAGTTGTGTTATTTCCAAAACGTGTATGACAAATTCACAAGCTCACAATGTTAATTGACCATGAAATCAGGTTGGTGGTGAAAAGATGTATGACAAAGCAAGGAGGGGTGAAACAGTAGAGCTTTCACCAAGAAGAATATCAATATACCAATTTGATATTGAGCGCAGTTTGGAAGACAGGTATTCTTACATTCCTCTTTTCCTACCTTTGAATTCATAGCGGATAATAAATATCTGGTCAGTGTTCATATGATTACCTGTACTCTTGATGATTGTTCTTTTTTTTTTTGGTTTGCATTCTACAGACAGAATTTGATATTTCGAGTTACTTGCTCAAAAGGAACATATGTTCGGTCCCTATGTGCGGACTTGGGTAAAGCACTTGGAAGGTTGGCACAATTATTCCTGTGTTAGCCTTATTTTCTGTTTACTTTCTGTGTGTGCAGTCTGCATTAATGAACATCAGCATGTATAATGTGCTCTAAGTGATCGGTGTCAGGATTACATTTATATTTCCTTTTCAGGTTTCTATAAATGTTTCAGTTGTTATGATTGTGCAATATCCTTTCACTATTGTCATCCTTTTATGGTAGCAAGTTACTTTATGTGTCCAATGGAGTTCTACATATCTTTGAACACCATAAGGCTAAAAGTCTGCATAGAGCCTAGCCCCTATGTGTTTTGGTCCTATGCTTATGCACCCTGCTTGTACTTGCTCTGTCAAAGATTCAACCAAGTTTGATATTTCATATTTCACAAGTATTATCATGTCTTTGGGCTGGAAGTTTTTTTTTAAATAACTTAGCTATTTTACTGAAGTTGGCTAGTTCCATGTATTTGTTGTACTGAACCCAAATACTTGTTCCTCCCTTTTTTCTGGATGTTTAATATATACTCTTGTCGTTTAATTGTAGAATAATCACATGATCCTTTTCCCCCCATTTTCATTTCAGTTGCTGTTCTTATCCATCGACATGTTTTTTATGCTAATATATTTCGGTGACCAAATTCAGTCTATACATTTTCCTGCAGCTGTGCTCATTTAACTGCCTTGCGGAGAGACTCAATAGGTAATTTTCTGTGCTGTGCCTCTTGGTTACTGTCTACATGGTTCAGCTGTAGTTCTAGTCCAGTGAAGATTTGTTGCTTGTGAAGGTTTCTAAGGCTTATTTTGCAGGTGAATACTCGGTCAATGATGCTTGGAACTTCGATGAGCTTGAGCAACAAATCACCAAGGGGTATTTATGATCATTAATTAAACCTGCCTTCTGGACTTTGGGGGATGCGAGCTAGGTTACATGCGGCTTGCAACCAGTGGCCATGTCATTTGTCACCAATTATATAGAAATTATGCCACTTGAGTAGGCATCCAGAAATAGGCATCCATTCATATCAGTCCCAAGGCTGTCAATGCGGGCTGGGCCGAACTGAACAGATGCAAATCCAATTCAGTGCGTCCTCAATTTTTCATAGAGGAACACGAAGCTTGTCTTGTTGTGATGAGCTTGACAATGATGACGTTGGGCTCCCTCACTTGTGTGTTGTACCTAAGTGGGTTGCTCGGGGGTTAGTCGTTTGGGTTGCCGTGTTTAGTTTTTTGACGGTTTTCCTTTAATAATTAACCATGTCACTAAAAAGTTTTCATGTCTGTTTTTTTCTTATAAATTGGGTTAATTTCTTTTTCTACCTATAGTGAATTACAGGAACTACCTGTCCTTTTCGGTTGTTGCTTGGAAAAAATAGTCAGATACAAAAGCTACTTTGCATTTATCTGAACCCTATGTCTGCACCCTGTGTTACCAGGTTAGGTCACACCCGCAGTTGCGTACTCCTTCCGTCTAAAAAAGGCATGTAATTATAGATTTGACTGTCTCAAAAAGAATGTAATTAGAGATTTGAAATGAGTCATTTTTTTTTAATTTAATCAAGTTTGTAGAAAACAGCATCAACATTTATGTATCCAAATAGGTTTACTATGAAAATATATTTCATAACTAGTGTAATGATATTTATTTGGTATCATAAATGCTAGTTTAAATTTTTTATTTCTCATAAAGTGAGTTTTTTTTTTTTGAAAGCTGGCTGTGGTTGACTCGTTGGCAACCATCACCTGTCGTCAGCGCAATGGTAACCCGCGTGTTGGTGTTGCCGTGCCCCACGCCAACTTCACGACCAGCTTGTCAGGTTGCGTCCATGCTGAAACCCTAAGTCAACATTTTTCTTAAACTTTTGATCCAACAATTTATGAACGCGAGGTCAATATGTCAGATAAACTAGTTCGACTTTATAAGTGGAAATGTTGAAATGTTCAAAATGAAGCACTAGAACAATACAATTAAGATTGTTTCCCCATATTTGGCATCTTTCGGAAAGAACCTTTGCATCCCACTCCAATTAAGTCGATGGAAGTAGGCAGAGGAAGATATCTTAAGCGAGCAAGAAGCTCTATTTGATACCTTCAAGAAAACTCTGTATTGACTCTTGACCTCTTGGACATGTTTTTCCTTCCAAGCTAAATGTATTCGCCATAATCTTATTATTGATATTCGCCTCAGAACTTGGCTTAAGAGTCGGCGGGACAACATTTTTTTTAACAGAACCACCAAATTCATCATCACGAAGGTAAGGTATTCGTCAAAAACATGCATGCACAAAGTAAACAGTTACTAAATTTTATTAAATCAATAACCAAAATTATCATCCGATTCCTACTTTAATTTGTTGGAGATGATGAGAACATGGCTCAAATTAACTTTGCACATTTCAAAATTCAAAAGCCAGAAGATTCCGTGAATTATCTTACACCACTGCCTGCGAAGGGCCACTGGTCAATCGAATGTTGGTAGATGATGCCATACTCATTGTACAAAGAAGCTAGGAGGTCTTGATGGGGAACAAATCAAGACCAACATGACGATCAATGGAGTCGGAGGAGAGATCCTGTTCAGGCCAAGAGAATTGCCTCTATTAAGCTTACCATTGGGAGCAAAGCATTGACCATTGCTTTCTTCAGTGAAAGGTAGCTATAATTTGATTGATTGGATCGTTGTGTACCTTTAAATGGAAAGATGCTTCGATGGGGCTGAGAGCTCAAAGTTCACTTTGCAACCCTCTCAAGAAAGATGGTCTAGGAAACACCACCAAACCTTTCCAGTGAGACTGACAACTCTGAAAAGATATTGTGTTACACTAATGTTACCTAAGCTCTATTTTTTTTAGGGGAACCTAAGCTCTGGTGACCACCAACGCGCGTGCGTGAACAAGGAACTACGGGCACACACTCATGCGTCTGATTTCCAGTGAATCTCTATAACACGACCAAGCTCTGACATGCCATTGGGCCACGTTTCTTCCAATTCACAGCCATGGATGATATCGTTCTACGGTGAATATCCTAGCGTCAAAATACCTGCCAAACATAGGTAGAAAGGCAAATCGATATCGGTTCAGTTTCTTGTGAAGAAACGAATCTTCACGACTCTCCGCCTGACCGTGAATTGCCTCCGCCTGTTCCTTGCTTGACACGCCGCCGCTGCCGGTAGGATCATTGTCATGCACTCATGCTGGACTATGGGGGTTTGTTTTGTTTTTTCCCTTCATTTAAAGTAACCATCTTAGTTCAAGAACTAAAAGTTTGTTGTTGTCTTAGCGTTAAGTGTTAATCAATCATTACTAAACATGTTAAATTGAGACAATTTTATTTGATTTGTTGGCGCTTTACAAGTATAATTAGACACAAATATATATGGCCTTATAGGCCCATGACAATGAGTTCGACATATATATGGCCCTTGAAAACATATATATAGCACCAGCCCTGAACATATATAGGGTTTTGTAGCTCGTTCCTGAAGGTGTCATGCCAGGCCACCATCCGCAACGAGGAGGTGGCGACACACTGCTTACTCGTCGAGTCGTCGTCGTCGTCGGTCGCCGGCGACATGCATATATATCCTCGTGTCTTGAATGAACAATACTACTACTACTTCTACTATACAATAGCTGGGCTGTCGGTCATCTCGTACCCCAAGTCCCCAACCCAACTGCACGTAGCCACGTCCTAATACCAACACGGTCAGCGACTCGACTCGGTGTCAAACAATTTCAAACCAGACACAATATGATAGAGCAAGATTTTACAAAAAAAATTGAAACTAGTTTCATAATTTTCTGAGGTAAAACAAATTTTCTAATATTAAACAAGATTTTAGGATTTTTAATTTTATTATTTTTATGCAAATATTTGGATAGATTTTTGAAAATTTATTTTTATGATTTTTGGATTTTTTAAAATGATTTCTAGTTCAATTTACCTCCTTGAACTTTCAACTTAGTCTGATTTATCCCATCTCACGTGGTGCCACATTAGCAAAATCATCATCAAAACCATCCAAGGTGCAAAAACGAACAGTTTTAAAAGTTGAGGGGGTTAAAAAACTGGTTTTGTAGTTTAGGGAGCAAAATCGGACGGCCGCAATAGTTGTGGGAGGTAAATTAGACTTTTTCCTTCGACTCAAATTAATCTACAATTCTCATGTTACTTGTAGCACTCCACTTTTTGAGGCATTCCCCCCATTTTGTGATGTCTTGGATGCAAAGGGCGATCCTCATGACCAGGGTTCAAGTTGTATTTGTGCCTCTTTTAGTATTAGCATTTACTAGGTCAAGTAGTATCGGTCATAACCTAGTAGCTAAGAGGACACTATTGGGGGAGCCCATTAGGTATATGGGTCATGTCTTCCTAAGAAGAGACCCAAATAGTTCATAGAGTAGTGCCATGTAAAATTTAAACTCGCCAAGGGGCCTTTTGTAAATGACCATCACCTACATAAGTGCCCAATGGTATGAAGGCAACTGGACTCACTTCAACCCATATTAGCTTGCACCCAAATCCTAGTCTCTCTTCTCCTCACTACCTTCTCCTCTATGGGCATGTTGGATGACAACTAGATTATTATAATATAGATTATGCATGGGATTATTATAATCAGGATGATGGATAACAATCATGTTTGCGTCTCTGGATTATGGTGATTAGCTATGGTTGATTAAAGTAATAAATTCCTATTCTACCCCTTTCACAACAAACCTGTTGTTCGCGCATGTGTGTCGCTGGATCAAAATCTGATACTCTATCTCCCCTTCTGTTGTCCCATCCTGCTTGTGTTAAATACTCCTATAAATCCAACATCCTGCTTGTGTTAAATACTGCTAGTAATATCTTCACACACCAGTATCATTGTTTCTTGGAGATAAATAAAGTGAAAATAGTACTGCAGAATTAGATTTTTTAGGTAAGAGGAAACTCCTTTTTCGTCATAATTTGGGTCAAATACAAATTTTACCTCATGGTTCTGCCAATCAATAGAGTCCATGATCTTCTCGTAATTGACAAATGCACTCTTGAGTAAAACTAACACAGTACCCACCAACTCGCCATATGTGGCAAAGTCCTTGTCTGGCTCGAAGTTTTTAGGACCTTTTACAATTTCTATATATATTGTACTCCAGTTCTAAAATAGATAGCCAAAAGTGGTTTCTGTGACCATCGAAAGATTACCAGCGAAGGACTGATGGAGAGCCCAAAGCCATTGTGGGAATCTATTAGCCTCTGAGATGACTACAATCTGTTGTCCCTTCTTCAGTCGACCGAGATATTGTGATAGAGCGTGATGTGACAAGTTCAACTCATATGCCCCGACTTTAATGTTTCTGAACATGTCCTTTGTGTAGCGTCCCTTGAATGACAAACTGTCCTAGTATATCTCTTGGTTAATCATGTCCGCTTCCATCAACTCTAGTATTTGAATAGAAGTACCAAATGTTGTTGTATAGGAAGCCAAGGAGGTAGTGGTCCTTCAAGCTGAATGCCAACGTAACCCTCTCGATTGCCTACCCTGCGGTAAGAGTTTCAACATCAGGTTGGAGCACCAACTTGAAGAACACGCCATCTGTAGTCTGATGGAGGTAGTAGCATTGGTCCTCGTCCTCGACGCAGAAGATGCCTACCTCATTTGCAAGCAATTGGTCAATCCAATCCATCACATCCTGATTCTTTTAACCATGGCCTCCGGGTTAAAGTAGAGTTTCCAATTTCTAGACGGAGCCTATAAAATACATCATATAGCATATATTAGTCACAGTGAGAGAACACAAGTGACAGGAATATAATTAATCATCAAAGATCTGATGGGTATGCAGAAACAGAGTAAGATGTTAATAGGTTACCGTAATGATGAATGTAATGC